GCTGCCTAATACTGCTTGTGTCCTTAAATATTCTGCAGGGAGGTCTTCGGAAAGTCTTACACTTTTGCGAAGTTATTTCCTGTAATACTGTGTGTGGGGAGTCTGAAAGATAGTGAAATAGATTAGCGCTTCAGTGTCTCGCATGCAGAAAGAGGCTCTGTTAAAGATGAGGGATGGATCTCCTGCTGGAGGACAAGCGTCCAAGGCTCTGTTCTACAGTGGGAACATCACTTAGAGGTTCGAAAAGATCACTTAGAGGCAGGCATTTGCATGCTGTCATCACTGCATACTGGTGCCTATACTTCTTCTCCCTTTTAAAAAAATAAATCTGATCTTTGCACACTTAATCTGTGGCTGCATCTCTGTGCCTTGTTCTTACAGAGGAAGATAGTCACGCTCTGTACTCAAGGCATGTTAGACAGAAATTCGTTAAGGACTGTGAGGTCATCTGATGCTATTTTAATAAGGACTCTATAAGCATTTTAAATAATAGGTTCTATTAGGCTCTGAGACCAAACTGCATTTCATTAAAATGAATTTTGATTGTAAAGTCAGTGAACTAAAAACATGCTCACCCCTCAGAGTGTATTCCTGCAGTATGCTTCATGAATGAGGGTATTTTATGGTGTTGCGGAAGTATCGTATTAGTTTATTGGGGATTTATCCTGATGGAGCTGCCCCGGTGACTCCTGTGTGGCAGACCGCAGAAAGGCTTGTTTGCCAGGCCTTTGCAGATATCACTTTGTGAGACCCTCCTGCAGGCTTCCGTGCGGCTCCGAGGTGTGAAGGGAGCTGTGCTGCACCCTGTACCAAGCCACCTCTGTTTGCAAAGTCATTACCAGCTATAACTCTCATCAGAACTGACGGTCCTGTTATGAACTCCTGCTCCTTTACAATGGGTTGATTTCATTTATAGCAATAAAATGGGAGCTGTATGGCGTGGCCTCAGCCTGCTCCCAGACAGGTCAGGGAGGATGGGTCAGCAGCGTCCCAAATCTTATGTGTGGTGATGAACAAAGAGCAATCTTGCATTATGTGATGGTATTGCACCAGCTTATCTTCTGTGATGGTGGGTATTGCAATGTCTTATCAGTTCACAGAAAATAAAAAAACAAAACAAACTGTGATTCATCTCAATATACTTAGATATTTCAGTAAATATTGTCATGGTTCTTCCAATTGTTTGGCAACAACTACACCCTGAGCTTGTAGATTGTTTTCTTGAAAGTTGGAGTTCATTTAAACCTGTATGAAAATAATATATTAGCCACTGGAATGCTGAACATTCTCTTCTTACTTGACATTTTTTACTTTAGCCACGAAGCTAAGTGTGGAAGGGGCTGCTTCTCTAAAGCCAAACAATCTCTCCCCATTTCTGACTTCCAGTGTGAGAGTATCAGTAACCTATCCTCACCAGAATCAAACTTGTCATGGGAAGAAAGTGGAAAGCAAAAAAGAAAAAGTAACACACAAAATCTTAGACTGAAACTCCTTTGTGCAGAGGAGGGTGAAGAGAAAAAAAGGAAACCTCATGGACTGACGTTTTAATAGTGATTCTGACACTTGTCTAGTGTGCATCTGATACTTTCATAGAATCATAGAATGGTTTGGGTTGGAAGGGACCTTAAACACCATCTCATTCCAGCCCCCCTGCCATGGGCAGGGACACCTTCCACTCGACCAGGTTGCTCAAAGCCCCATCACAACCTGGCCTGGAACACTTCCAGGGCGGGGGCAGCCACAGCTCCTCTGGGCAACCTGTTCCAGTGCCTCACCACCCTCATAGTAAAGAATTTCTTCCTTGTATCTAAGCTGAATCTACTGTCTTGTTTCACCAAACAATCTTTCTGTCTCATTCCAATGTAATTTAAAAACAACGGAGAGAAAACTTTAAAAGTAGTACTGTGGGTCCCCTGTCTCTGTCTAATTAGAATGTAGCTAAAAGACTAACCAGTGGACAAATATAGGCCACGCTCCTCCAGTTCCTGAATTATCCCGTGACCCAGACAGATTCTGGCTAGTAGCCCAGTTCTCCCATCCAAGCTTCGACGCCATTTCACCTAATCACGCCTGCCTCTCCTGGACCTCCCTCTGTCTCAATGCTTACAACAAAAGATGAAAGGTAGAAGATTATTTTCTAGCATGCTCGCTTAGACATTTCTGCTTCAGAGGTTTTAGAAGTGGTAAATAGAAAGCCTGGCTTCTGAAATAAAATAGATGCTAGTATACTCTTCCATGGCAGAATTTTGCCTGTGGCTGTGAGACCCTATTTATCTTCTCAGACTGTGCCTGCACATGCTGTTCATCTTGTTTGCTGTTTGCGAGCCCAAACTGAACCCTTGACTCATCCTCAGTAGAGAAAAATGGTAATTAAAGCAGCTTGGATACAGCATTCCATTTTTGCTGTTGACAGTTGTGGAAAAGTCAGAGAGAAAGCATTTTTTTCTGAGGGAAGTTTGATGTACTTGATCTAGAAGAAAAAAAGGCAAAAAAATCTATACTTTTATTGATTACCATGATTTTAATTGTCAGCTACCAGTGAGCATTCTTATTTTGTGTGGCTTTTGTGTAGCAAGGTCTGATTTCTGGCTAGGTTATGGCCAGAGGTTTATTATTGCCTTCTTTCTCTCTCTTTTTCCCTCTTTTCACAGGGAGAGAGAAATCTGAGGGACTGAAATATGTTAACGAGACAAAGCATTAATTGGTGATCTGCTTAAATTATTAGCAATTCTTATTGCTCACTACAAATACAGTCCTATTTTATTGCATCCACATGAACATATTCGTGTTTAGAAAAAACGTTAAATGTTATCAAAGGCTATTCCCCCTACTGAAATCCAAAAACCTTTATCATTGCACAATCTTCATTACTTTCAATAAAAATAATTGTTTAATTGAAGTCACGATGCTACTTCCGTGTAAACTGTTTTGGCTATTATGGAAATCCATACGCTGTCTCAGACTGCAGATTTACAACTGTGTTAACAGTTACCTAATTCGATGTTTGCATGTGTGCTCTTACTCACTGCTGGACAGCATCAGTCCTTGAAAATGCTGTTAAAAATGCATCTAAACAATACAGGGCAATAAATCTAGGTGATAGTCTTTTGTAGTAGACCAGCTGATACGTCAGCAGTTGGGGAGTTTGGTAAATCAGCTCAGCCAGGTCAGCCAGGTTAACACACGGATTTTAAATGCTGTGTTCGCCAGTGAAAACTGAGCCAGAATCAGGTTACAGGACGATCATGTCAGCAGCTTCTCTGGAGTCCTGGCAGTTTAGTTACAAACGGCAGCAAGACCGAAGTACAATTAGGGCATTTGCCTACGTCCTCAGCAATCTGTACTCGTAGCACACAAATCTAGTGACAGGAGTACTCTGAGAGTTTGGGTAGAAATTAACTTTTCCTCTGGAAATTTTACATAACTATCATACCACTTCTTCTGTGCTAAAAGAAACATTTCTGGACCAAAATCTGGGGCATGTTTCCCCCTCTCAGAATAAAATAAAGCCCTGCCACACCTTCATAAGGACCCCATGCCCCAGAAAGCAGCCCCCACGACTCGCCTCTTCGCTTGCACCTCCATGAAGGGTTTTCATGCGGAAAATAACAAGCAGGGTGTCTTCAGCTGTGTTAATAACTAGCATCTCCGTCAGCACCAGGTAACGCCGCTCAGATACATCTCATAAATCTTGCTGGAAGCCATGGGAGAAGGAGAAGCACATGGGGAACTGGAAGGAGAGACCGGTGGAAATGCCAGCGCCAACCGAGCCGCCCGCTCGTCACTTCATGGAGCACCGAATCCAGCCCCTGCCAGTCCAGGCAGTTTTACAATGAATTCTTGCCAGCTGTGTGCTAGCAGTTTGCTAGCAAAAAATGCCACACTGAGGTTCGTATTGTCAAAGCACTGGCTGCTGCTCACAGGAGGAAAGATATTGCCACCTGGATGTCTCCGTTGCTCGAGAGAACAAGCACTTTCTGCTTCTCCAGTTTCAAGACTCTGACAGGGCAAATTGTTCTTTTTTATTTCTTCTTTTCTTTTAAATTAGCCTTATTTAAGAAATAATTTTTTTTTTGCAATTGCATTTAGTGATAGTTATATTCCATTTTGCAATGTATCATAATGCAAGTTGTTAAATATGTAACTAAGCATTTTAAAACATGAAACTGTAAGAAAAAATTTCATTGCAACAGGAAGACTCTTGCCTGCCTACACATTGTATTTGTTTAATGTCGATTTCTCTTCCCGTAGTAGTGAAATGCCACATCCATATTTAAAATCCGAAGTATTGACAAAATCTTCTGAGCACATAAAGCTGTTTTGGCAAAGTAAAAGAGTGCCTGCCGTGCTGCAGCTACAAAAATGAAACAGCTCATCAATTTACCAACAGTCTGCGTACAGACAAGGCATTCTCTGCTTGTCAGGAAACCTGATGCTTTTCTCACGCAGGAAGAAATCCTCACCATGCCAGAGCCAGTGAGAAACCTCTGCTGACTTCAACAGGGCCAACTGCTACGAGATTGACAGGGCTATCATTATGCTTTAAAATAAAGCTTACGCACATGCATCCATGAATAGGAACTTTAACGGCAGAAAGGCCTAATACAACAGTTGTAAGGGAAGTGAAAAATCAGAAAGAATATGCTGCAGTTCAAGATTAATGTGTTACGAAAAATCTAATTTTAACAGAAGGTCAAACCTTTACAAAAAATTTTTCCTTAGCATGTCAAAATCTCACATTTCTTCAGCTGTCACAGAGCACTGTTAGAAATGAAGACAAAATCTGCTGATTGAATTAAAGTGTGGTTTCTCAGAGACTGAACCAGTATTTATTTCAAAATCACTCCTAAATGATTAATTACCCACTTAAACGCATAAGCAAACCTTTGGTCTCACAGCATCTCTATAACATTTTGCAGTATAAAAAGAAAAGGTTTCTGATATCTGTAATTACTTACCAAAATAAAGGACTTTCTTTTTTTGTGTGGCAGTTTTGTTTGTAAATGTTTTATTAAAAAAAAAAAAATCTTTTAATGCTATTAGTCAATACATGTGTACTAATACTTAATAAAGTATCACGTAGTAGCAGGTATTTTGGATTCAGGAATGTAATGGTTTTAACTAAATCATCAGAGCTCTGTTCTGCTCCAGTCTCTTCTGAATTGTCATTTTTTTCCCCAGAATTTAAACAAACTCATTCTTTGTCAAGGTACGTCATCCTTAAGGCCTTGCAAACTTTTTAGTGATTGAACCAAAACAAAGAGAGAGCTCGGCTTTCTTGATCTGAAGACCACGTTGCTCTTGAGCTTAAAAAGGTGCCGGCGGTTTTCAAGCAGTTAGTGGCAAATCAGCAAGAAAGAAATCAGAGGAGAAGAAGGGGCACTTGGAAATCAAAACAGTAAAGTGCACAGTTATACTGTCCGAAATTGTACTAATCTGATCCAAAGAACGTGCTGGACTGTGGATATTTAATACAATTTGGCTTGCATGGAACACACAATCACGATCGGACAGAAAGGATTATCTTTTTCTTCCTGAAGTCATCTACAGGATTTATGGAATTCAATTTTCAAGGGTAACATACTGCAGCTCTTTGGATATTGATCTGTTTCCCAAGTCCACAAGGAGATGGAGAAGGGGGGGGAAGGTGTGGAGGACTGCAAGGCATTCTCGTGCCTTCTCCGTTTTCTTTAGATGCCAGTACTCTCCAGTTCCCCATCCTCCAGCCCTAATGCACTGTGCGATCTAGAAATCATAAAGAGTTTCTCCTTATTCGTGTACTGTCTTTGAGTTTTCTGGGATTGCTCCCCTGTTTGTTCTTTGCTGGTAGCCTTGAGGGGGTCCGTCTTCTCAGCTGGTTCCTCCTCACAGTCCTGGATTTTACTGGCCGGGGTGTTGGCAACTGACTCCAAGGAGGTGCCTGCCTCCTCCAGGTGGCTGTAGCCCTTATTGCTGCTGGAAGGCTCAGACTGGGAGCTCTGGGAGTCCGTCCTGGTGATGGCAGGAGGGGTTGACGGGGATGATCCCCCCAGATCCAGAGATTTGGAGTAGCTAGAAGATGCCTTTACCAATGGGCTGGAGTCTGGGCCCTCGCTGGCAGCTGGGGACCGAGGTGGCTCAGGGAAAAAGAGACGCCTGGCATCAGGCAAGCAGCTGGTGCTCTGCTGCCTGAGCACCAGCTTGTGCC